AATCCTAATAAAGTACTAGCATGACTGCTAAAGTTAAAAAAAGAAAAAAAAAAAAAAACTGTAAGTTGAAGATCACCAATATTTTTTATTATTATTTTAAGGTGTATTATATGCTCTACATTTTGTAAAAAATAGCTATAAATACTATACACAATTTTCTCATATAATTTAAAGTCTTTAACTTGCTTTGCAGCATTCTTTGCAGCTAATGCTAATTTATAAGAAATATAGTGATGTTTTAAAATAAAAGAGTTCTTATTTTTAAGTTGAGTCACTACTCTACTATAAATACCTATAATAATTATAATATATAATTAATTATAAAATTTTATATAAACTATATAATAATAAGTAAAATTTAATATATTATCTATTATTGTACTAGTACCATTAGTGCAAATATGTATTAACTTATCATATAATATATTTTTTGCTAGAACAAATTAATTAATTTTAGCCATAATTATATTTGCAATACTATTTATTAAGAAAATTAATGCAAGAAATCAGTAAAGTAGTTTTGCTGATACAATTGAGTATTTGGAAACAATTGCTAAAACCTTTTCAGTTGAAATAGTATTGCTTTCATCAATCATTATACTCCACCCATCTGAATTATGCAATTTCTAAAAAATCTTTTGTTCTATAATATGGCCAATTGATTCAATAAATTCACAAGCTGAAACATTATTTTAATAACTACTATATAGTGCTTATTTATTATTAGCAGAAAAATTATTATTGAAAATATTTAAAATTTTAGTGCTATACTCAAATTAGTTTTGATTTTCAGCATATTGAATTTCAGATAACTTACAAAAATCCTCAAATATATTAGTAGACAAATTATGCTAAATTAAAAAGTATATATTATGCATATTTCTTATAATTTTAATTTGATCAATTCTAGCTTGAACAGCAAAACTAAAATATAAAGTAACTTGGAATTGCATTTGGATAGCACAAACTATCTGGTAATCACTAGTAATAATATGACAGTCTAGGCTTTGCTTTTTAAAAAACTCACAACCTTTAGTAAAATTATTATTTTTATCAGCTTCCTTATACCAAAACCAAAACATATATTTATTTAATAGTCCTTCTTCATGATGAACCTAGGAATACATTTTAGACCAATTCGAATTTCAGTTTAATGATTTCTTGGCTAATTGTAGTACTTTAAGTTGCCAAGAATTATTCTTTCTTCTGAAGTTGTAGAGACCTCATTATTACTATTATTAGCTAAGGTTTTTAATTGAGCAGCAATAGAAAATAGGTTAATGCTTAAATTAAGAGGTTTGGTTTTACAATTTGATATATTGAATATAATTTGATAATAGCAATAGTTATTATATTATTTACAAACTTTAATTCTTTTATATTTTATTATTGCTAAGCATTAAACTAATTTAGTAAGCTAATAACAAGTTCTTGTAATAATTCTGTTATATGAATGAAATTGTATAGCAAATGACCTAATCATTTATGTCAATCTGCTAGGATATAAGTAACTAGATGCCAACAAAAAGTGTAAATATTACTGGTTTATAAGTAAAATATGGTTTTTAAAAATATTAAAGATTTGCATTTAATTATAAAGTTAATATTAATTTTATTCATCAATATCCAAATTAGTATTATGATTGTAAAGCCAATTTGTATAAGTAAAATAGTATTGTTGTGAGTTAATAAGTAACTTCTATTACTAACAACCTAGCTCTAAAGGCAAGCATTTATTATACTGATGACCACTGAGATACCAAAAACAATTCAATAGATAAGAGTATTATTTATTTTAGGGTTGATGATTTATTTTACAAATAAAAGCACTAATTAATTATTTATTTTTTTTTTTTGCTTATAAATACAAATTTTAACTATATTTTATTACATTATTATTTAATCACATTGTTTTAACTTTTCAATTATTTAATCATGCTATTTTGACTTTTAAATACCTAATTACTGATTTTTTCCTGATACATATGTTACTTAATCCAATTATAACTAATTATCATGTAGTTAAATAAGTATAACACTAATCGAACATTTTGTATTCTTTTTGCAAACTAAATATATACTTTTTTTTTGTTTTTTTTTCCTACTAACCTGATTAGTTACTTATTCTTTTAGTGCTCCAAATCTATTCTCCTTACTAAATACACCACATACTGCTTTTGACTATGACAGTATGCATATTAATTAATATAAGATATAAGACTAATACAGTATAATGATAATAATATATGTCTTGATGTAATATATAGTTGGTATTAACTATTTTTATTTATGAATTTCTAGTTAATACATATTTAAAAATTGACTATTTTGTAATGAATTTTGTACTTATGAACTAGAAGTTTAATATATAAGTGAATGAACTAATATATTAATAATAAAAAAATAAGTATATAAATTATTTTATAATAAATGCTATACTTACTTTAGTAATTAATGTATTACTAAATGAATAATGAATATTTAGCACATTTATTATCTTTTAATAGTTTTTATGATTTATAGTTATTTAATATATCTTAATACAATTGTGTTATTCAATTCAATTTTTATAATTTTGTTAAAATTTCAGGTATTTTTTCATATTTGCCTGTTATAAAATAAATTCTTTTAGATATTTTATTAATGTCACTATAGATAAGTTAAAATCTAAGTGTTTTATTATTTAACTATTTAAACTTGATACTAATATTGTATTTTTTCTATTTGCTTAGTATTGGTATATTATTTGGATTTAAATTATTTATTATATAAACCTATGTATGTATGC